CAGCAGGACTCGAGTGAGTCAGGATACAGACTGAGTAAGTGTCCGGCATGGGATGCTTTTGGATTAGTAATCAATGTAGAGACAGCATGGGGAGTGTGGTAAAATTGCGGGATAGCCGCAACAGTTGTTAGTAGCCAGTTAGGAGTGTGGGCGGGGGCCCGTATCTCCTAAATAGAGGAGTGTGGGCGGGGGCCCGTATCTCCTAGTTAGCAGAGTGTGGGCGAGGCCCGTATCTCCTAGTTAGTATGGTCAGGATCAGGTAGACATAGTTCGTTGAGATTCAATATGAAGACAGGCCTGCACAGCCCTAGATAGGCGAGACCTGAAGGAGAGGCCACTTCAGTATACAGTTGGGTGAGACCCGTGGGCGAGGCCCGTATATTAGTAGCAGTACAGGTGAAACTAGAGGGAGAGACCGCTCTAGACCTAGTTTCGGTGAGACCCGTGGGTGAGGCCCGTGAGATTTTAGCAGCACAGGTGGAACCTGGTAGATACTTTAGAGTCAAGATAGGGGATCGAGGATCCCAGGAATTAGAGAGCCAGAGTGGCAAGGTAGACAGAGCAGTTGTAGTTAGCCGAAGTTTTCTTCGGGAGTCGCTGAGAGCGACTGAGAAATGGAGTTTGAGTTCAGTAACCGGTAGGAGTCCGGTGGTCAAGATGAGGGCAGATTAGTTGGGACCGGGGTGGTCTCGGTTCGTCCGGAGAGCAGATCAGAGACATTAGAATCTTCGGACAGGGACAACAATAAGGGGAGCCATGAGTGGAAGTAGTTAGTCGACTGAGAGGTTCTAGGCCACTAACAACTGAATTAAATAATCTCAGAGTGAGTGATTTGACTCTTTTGCGCAGCTCTCGTTTGAGTCTAACCGTTGCAGGGATGAGTCTATTACTCGAAGGATTATCTGGTCCATTCGCTGGGAGCGGTATCCAGCATCAGGATATAGTAAGAGGAAGCATTCAGTAGGTATCAGTGAAGTGACCAGCACCGGGAGTGGCTGGAAATGTAGATACAGCAAAGGGTATGTCCTTCACAGAGATAGGAGAAGGACTTGATTGTGTGTTGTTGCCTTGGGAAGGCCGTAGCGGCACATAGTTAAGGGGTGGGCCCCTAAGATGACCAGCATAAGTACTCAAGGAGTACCGGAAGGATTGTCAGTTGAGTAAGTTGCGTTCTCAGGATTTACGGGATTAGAACGCACTCGAGGGTATTATCTGCAGGGAATAGTTTAGCCGTAATGACCAGGAGGAAGGTCAATAGGAGTGGTCAGCAAGAGTTAGATTCATCAGGCAGGAAGGTTGAAAGCAGATTGCAGGACAGTTGGCCGTAGCGGACTTCGAGGACGAAGTCTAGTTTAAGTGGGGGAGAGTTGTAACACCCAGAATCAGAAAGACCAAGAAAGGAAAGGAAACCCTAAGTCAAAGGGGTCAACTCATCGAGTCTAGGGAAGAACTCGACGAGTCGGAGCGGGTTCCGTGTCAAAGATTAAGTGACCGACTCGGCGAGCCTGGTCTGGGTTTGGAAACCCTAATTCCAGGACTTGGTACCCTATTTAAGCATCTTATTCTCTTCCCTGGGGCTCATTTACAGCCTCTCTCGTCCAGAACCCAAAACCCTAACCACCCAACTCCATTGCTTGAGCTTTTGAGAAGATTAAGGGCCTTTAGAGTGCGTCTTGGAAGCTTGGAGAGAAAGGAGCAAGGAAGGAAGAGTAGATCCAGCCTCCATATCGACTTGGCAACTGTTAGGAGGTAAAAAGTCTAAACCTTGCATGCACGTAAAGTTAGCAACTTTACGTGCAATGCTAGCATTAGGGGCCCAGATCTATGGGTTGAAGGTGTTGCAATGGACTGTAATCGACATAATAGAGATGTCACGAAGTGGACTCGACGAGTCCGTTCATGGACTCGGCGAGTCGGGTCGCAAACCCAAACCCTTCTGTTTATGATTCGGATAAGTGAGTGGAGTTAGTAAAGGATTCAGCCAGACTGGGTCCGTAATGGACATGAAGATCATAGTACTCGACGAGTTCGAGGTGGAACTCGGCGAGTCCAAGACAATCTCCTTAGTTATGAATATGAACTCGACGAGTTGTTCATACAACTCGGCGAGTCATGGTCTAGACATTCATACGATGATGATGAACTCGACGAGTTCAGGAATGAACTCGGCGAGTCGGTTGAAGATAGTCCTGAAGTGTTAGATGGAGGAGAACTCGTCGAGTTCTCGCTAGACTCCACGTGTGAAGTCGGGGTTGTCTTGGGATTTGAGGAGCATGGACTCGGCGAGTTGGCAGAACAACTCGACGAGTCGTGTCAACTGGAAGGTTGACTTTGACCAGGACTTTGACCTTGAGAAGGACTTTGACCAGAGTTGACTTAGTTGACTTCTTGAGGACAGTTAGGCTAAGTGTTATTTTGGTATTGGTAGCTCGGGGAGCAAGAGGAGCAGCGGTTCGGAGAGTTGTCGGATAGCAGCCAGAGGGTTATCAACAGAGTTCAGCAGTGCAGGTGAGTTTCCCTTTGTGTGTATGGGTCTACGGCCACAATGCCGGCCCATGTAGTTATGAGTAGGAAGACCCGGGGGTTAGCCCTAGGCAATATATGCTAGTATGTTATTCCGGACCAAGGTCCGATGTCGGGCGGGTGCCTGAGGAAGGTTTCTGTGTTTTTTATTCCGGATCAAGATCCGATGCTGGAGTAAGCCCGAGGAAAGTTCCATGTTAGATTATACTTGTTGTCTGTGTGATACATGTATGTGCCTGGTAGGGAGGTGAGTGTGGGCGAGGTCCCGTATCTCACCAATAGTAGAGTGTGGACGGTGTTCCATATCTCATTAGCAGCAGAGCAGGGGCGAGGCCCAAGATAGGAAAAGAGTGAGTGTGGGTTGGGCCCGTAGCTCACTATCAGTAGGAGCATGGACGGGGTTCCATGACTCATCAGTAGCAGGACAGGGGCGGGGCCCGAGATAGGCGAGGCCTTAGAACAGGAATCCAGTAGTATATGTTCAGTTTATGTGTTATGCTATGATTGTATGTTAGTATATGTTAACGGGCGGGGCCCAGAGACAGGCGGGGCCTAAGTGAGACAGATCTGTATACCGAGCGGGGCTCGATGCCAGGCGAGGCCTGATGCCGGGCGGGGCCCGATGCCGGAGCGAGTCCAATGCCGGGCTAGTCCCGATGCAGCAGGGGCGAGGCCCAGTATGTGATTATGAGTATGGTATGTGGTAGGTTGGGGAACTCACTAAGCTTCGTGCTTACAGTTTTCAGTTTTGGGTTTCAGGTACTTCCGGTAGCGGAGGGAAGAGCTCGGGATGATCGCATGGCACACACCATTGTTTGCCAGCCTGGGATGTTTTACTCTGATAAAATGAACAAGTGTTTTGAAAAGATACTCTGATTTATCATATGACCCTTTTTGTATGTTGAAATGATTTGATACTATGATTTAGTAATGTTTTAGAAAGAAATTTTCAGACCAGATTTTTGGGATGTTACACACATCCTTTGGAGCAATTAGAAAGTATGAGAGTTTCTTTTGTTTTGAGAGCTCAAGTGAGGCGTAACCTTTTATGTGTGATTGTAATTGTTCTTGAAAGCTTAATAAAATCCTCACTCACTCACTCTCTCTCTCTCTCTCTCCCCCTCTCTCTCACTCGTTCGCCCGTAGATGTAGGTCACCTTGACCGAACCACGTTAAATATTGTGTTCATTTGATTTACGTTTTCCAGAAGTTTATTTCCGCAAGTTCACCGAAGTTTGTTTGATATTTGTCTTAAGTGCTTAACTTGTTTTGTTGTCACCCACCACTTTTGTCATATGTTTCCATTTTGTGGCATCCTTCAAATTTAGCCAATGTTTGATATAGGGAAAAGTTTTGTGGGTTTTTATTCATATTTTTCCATGCCCATGCTAAACACATTAAAATCGTTTGACCTACTTTTGTGTAGGTTGGTAAGATTGATGTAAATTCCATCGAATTCGGTACACTTCAACCTCAAATTGCGCCACTTTGAAGTAATTTGATTAGGACTTCGGCTTACACTTCCCGTTAAATCATAAAAACCAGTTCAAACTTTTTCCAAAACAAGTAGATGTTTAAGTGTCTCCGACTAAGGGGCCTTGAGAAGCCGAAACTCACGCTTGTGCTAAATTCTTTTATTCCTCTTTTTTCCGAGCCACCCTTTCGTTTTGATTGGTTTGAGTGGTTTTAACGTTTCTTTCCTTTCTTCTTTTTTGGTTGGGGATATTCTAGTTGTGTTTCGGCTATAAAATCCAGTGAATCCGATGGTGAAAAATGTGGTTGTGAAGGTTGGTGTGGTGAAGGTTGTAGTTTTGTGGTGATGGTTGTAGTTGTGTTTGGAAATGTTGTTGGTATACGAAAGCAAATTAGAATTGTTGTGGATAATATTGTTTGATAGGGTGGGAAAACTTGATATGATTGTTGAAAAAGTTGAGGTTGTGCCATATATGAACAATTTTGGAGCAAGTTCATTAAACCACCTTGAGGTGATTTCATATTCGAGTATTGATGTGAAGTTGTATCTAACACAAAAATGTTATCAGGATTGTGCTTTTGATAGCTTGGCTAGGTATTTTGATTGAGATTCATGGTACTTGGAGTTTAATAAGAGAAATGTGTGTTTATGTAAATAGAGAAAGAAAATAATGATGCGAAAGATATGGTTGTATAAAGTAGTATTTATAGTTGAAAACATATTTTAAAAAAAAACCAAATATATCCATCAAACGGCTAGTCAACTAAGTCAAACAACCTTTTCTCTCGTTCGTCGTTGCAATTTGTTGTGTACATCACAATCAACCACGACCATGACTGATTATGAACCACCGTGGTCATGTTCACGGTTGGCGTCGCCAACCTAGACCACGAATTTGCTTGATGCCGGTACTCTTAATAGATTTATGGTATAAGTAAATTTCTGTTAAAAAATAAAATGAAATTTAAGAAAATAGGAGTCTATTTTTTGAATGGTTGGATTTCAATCTTTTGGCAAAATAAACAGGACTCTCTCTCTCTCTCCGTGCGTATTCCCCATGCCTCTACTGTGGAGTAAATTGAGTGTATCCAATCACCATTGACCATTACACCCAAAACCTCCCTAACACGCCGACATCCTTTCTTATCCTCACCGGCGTGACAGGGCTTCATAATGTATACTTTTTTTTTTTATCTCTTTTTTACTTTGCTAAAAATGTTTCATCTCTTTTTTTCCTGCTGAAATTGATGATTTTGTTGTATTGGACCTATATTTCCATATACATTGATTTTTTTCGTGGTGTTTATCATGCTGTTTCTACTCTACATAGAGACTTACTGCTTGGATTCATCAAATTGGCGATTTGAAGTCAACATTTGTGCATCAGGTGCAGTTTACGAGCTCTTTTGGCCCTCGCTCCCTTATTTATTACTAAAATTGCGAGATGAAAACCCCCAAGATCGAGCTTATAGATCTTGGAGAAAGCTCTACTTCTTCAGCATCAAATGTAAAGGTATTTGTTTATTTTGTTGTACAATTTTTTTGTAGAAACTCCGAATTTAAATTACCTTCTGTTTCACAAACACAGGTTCTGTTGAAGTTTATTTGACTCTACTTGGTTGCTTTTGACTTACTGGGTGTTATAGATTTAGCTCTGAAAATAGTATTTTATTTTTTTTTTGACAAAAAATTGAAGTAGACATTTTTTTTCTTAATCATTGAAATAGCCAAAAAAAAATTAAGAAAATGACCATAATAACCAACGAAACCTGTGATTTCGTCTAACAATACCTATAAACAAAGCATTTGTGCATTAAAGACTTGTAAAATTGGACTAATACTCAGGCAATGTCATCTGCGATTGTACAACCCTTTAATGCACAATCTATGTATTAACAAGTTGTATAATCACAGATGTCCAAACCATCTGCGATTTGCTCTCAAGATTTTTTAAGTTTTTATATCTTAAAGCATGCTATCTGTCCAACCTTTTCAGCATTCAAACAAACAACTTTTGGCTAGTGTAACCGTTAAAGGCTCATGTAATAAAATAATGGAAGCACTTGATCGCCTAGAAGGTCGACGTCGTGAATCATTTCATACGACTGCATTCGGATATTGGTTGGGTGTACAAGTAATGACAGGGGATCCGTTACTTTGTCATGGATTGTTTCTCCACCAGTTACGCCCCACTCAAGAAATGGATGCCGAAGAAAGACTACACTTTCAAATTTCTCAGTATCGGATGTCGTTTGGGGCAGAAGAGTTTTGTTTGATCACGGGCTTTCGTTTCGGTCGATTTCCAAGAACAAAAAAAGAGTTTACTGAAAAAGAGACGTCGTTCCGATCACGTGTGTTCCGAGAAAGAACGGACGCTTCCTTAAGCGTTGGGGATGTGAGGGATTTTATATTAAGTAATCGTTTTGAAACAGTTTCAGACGAGGATGGAGTGAGAGCCTGTTTACTATATGTTCTCAACCAAGGGTTTCTAGGAAAAGAAAAAACAGATAAAATAACAAAAGAATGGCTATGGCTGATTGAAAACCTGGATGATTGGAACAGGTAAAACCGAATCAAGTTATTTAATTACTTTTAAAAATAGTTAAATGTTGTTATTTTATATTCTTAGGTTCGCGTGGGGCAGTTTTTTATGGCATCACAGTTACGGAGAATTGAGAAAGATTTTTGGAAAAATTGACGACTATGTCAAAGCAAATGAAGACAAACAATTGAAATATACGGTGTCTGGATTTTCGGCACCGTTTAAGGTATGGTCAAAAAATATGTAATTGATTTTTTTTTTTTTTAATATTTTAATATTAATATTGAAATAATAACAATTTGTGCATATTATTTGTTAGATATGGATTTGGGAGATGTTTCCTTATATTCGCGGGAAATATTCGATACGCCATAATAATAAAAATATTCCTCGGATAACACGATGGGGGCATATCAGAAGGTTGACGTGGGTTGAAGTTTGCGACATTTATAATGTCGATAAGGTTCGTTTTATATATATATATATATATATATATATATATATATATATATATATATATATATTGTTGTAAAAATATAAAGATGTAAAACATGTGACTTTATTTTCAGGATGAGTTGCATCGGCCTAAGTCTCGGATGCATGTGTCCGAAAATGAGGCTGTTACAGAGTACTATTTGTCGTACATCCGGTATATGAATGGTGATTTGTCCCCAATTGCTTCCCCTTTGCGGAATAACTTTAGGAGACATGAGGTATCATCCTCTGGTCCATCTTTGAGCAGCACTCATTCTAGCCATTCACAACAACCACAACCACCACAAGCGACATTGGACCCCTTAACTGCAGAAGATTTTGAGATACGGATACGTAGAGTAGAGGAGGAACTACGAAAGAGATCCATATATCCCGGCATAAATATGGACTCATGTATTGAGTACCCGTTGGGAACACGAGGACAGGTAAATAAAATCTTAGTTGATTTAATATTTTTTACTAAAATATATTTTGTGCCATATAGTTAAAATTTATTAACTTATGAGGATTTATTATATATATTCTTAGAAAGTATGACATAAGTCATAACGATATCCAAATTATGAGTGTGATATGTTAATGCAAAACCTTTGCTTCAAAGACAATGATGAAACAAAATCCGGTGAATAGGAGTTCGTATGAGTTGCAAAGTTGCTTCGAACCATTTTGTTATGTAAACAAAGGAAAAGGATAATGTGTTTTACGACCTAACTTCAAAGATGAATGCATGGATTAAGTTCTATAAGTTATTCTTAATAGTTTAAAAGTCCTTTGCTTAATTTTTGGCTATTTCTTTGAAAATGATTAAGAAAATTAAATGGATAGTTTTGTCTTTTTACCTTTTCTTTACAGTTTAATTGGTGACTTTTAGAGTACTATCAGAAACTTCATTTACCTATCAGCTCGTAGGAAAAATGCATGAACACAACCAGTTAGTACTTTTGGTTTTTGATATTTTTAATTTCCTCCCTTTTTTTATTAATTTTTTTTATACAGAAAACGCAAAAAAGAAACAAAGTTTGTTGTGGGGCTTCCTCTTCAACGATAGATTATGAGGCACGACTGGCTGAAGCTCTTGGTGATTTAGTAAGTCACCATGGATTATCTTTTAATGATTGTAGTAGAGTAGTACCTGCTCTATCCCAAAACGTGATCATGGTTGGTGTTTTCTTACATCTTCAACTGCCTGAAAAGGGGCTCGGGTTGATCAGAGAAATTCTTGCGAGCTTACCTGCTCCATGACCTCGTTGAGAAGAAGGTGAATTGTCCCTGTTGTAGTAGTATTTTCTTTTGGTTTTGTTTCTTTTTATTAATCTGTTGAAAAAATTTGTGATGTGGTCAAAGATTTTAATTCTCTAATTATCGTTTTCATGATCAGTCTTTGCATTTAATTCTCTAATTATCGTTTTCATAATTACGGTTCTAATAAAAACTTAAGTTAGTGTAAGAACTTTGTAAGGGTCGAATGTATATTTTGAGGAGTCGAAAGAGTCTCTAAGGTGTCGAAATCAGCAAGACTTCGACACTCTATCTATTTTACAAGGCATTGTTATTTCGAGTATTTGATGTTTAACCCTTGTAACTTTTTGTGAGTTTGAGGTACCCTATAAATAGGATAGGTGCATAGAGTAGAAAAATGTTCGAACACTTTGTGTATTCTCATTTGTACTCTTGTTCTCTCGTGTACTCATTCAAACATAATCGAGCCAAACATATACTATTTACATCTTGTCTTCATTTACAACTTTGATCGTCTCAATCATTTGTGTTCATAATCAATACTAAAACACTTCAAACTTTAAAACAAATCGTGACCTTTTATTAGGATTAATCAATGGATAAGATTATATTAGATAATTAATTAAATTTCTGATTTGTTTTTAAATAAAATGAATGAGACTAAAAGAGGCGGAGGGTTATTTTCGGTAGACAAAATTGCAAGAATGGTTCCTGTATATAGTATGTTAAAACTCGTATGTTTGGGCTAAAAAAGTTTGGACTAACATCAGTGGTATAAAAGTTCTATTTTCTTGCGAGTTTGGTTTAGTTTGGGTTGAAATTTTTTTTAAACACGACTTTGCCTTTATTATTTAATTTTCCAATTTAATTTTTTGAATGGTACGATTTCAATCTTTTGGCAAAATAAACAATTATCATTAATATTTAACCCATAATAAACGATTAAGGACGGGATCCAAAATAACAATTCAAAACTAAGAAGAAAGATAACGTAATCTTATTGCGAATTTATGAAGATAGGTAAAAACAATTTACCAATTTCGAACTATGAGCTTCCTAGATCTTTTGACATTCATTGAATCTATCAATGACATGTTTAATTTCAGATTATGTTCTACAATTTGTGACTGGGATACCGAGGATCACAAACTAGATGTGAACAACCATACAAATACGTTTGGCACTCTCGATGTCATTTATCATATCATTTTAATGTGCCGATTAACCACACACACTCCATTAATCAATGATTATTTTCAAGGTGCCCATTATTATTCTTTATAGTTACTATTAATGTGTCGGTTAACCACACGTGCTCCACTAACTATCAAAGTATAATGTGTAATTTTGTGGATTAGCATATTTTCACATTTTCCTAAATTAACTAAGAGTGAGATTTTATAAAAGGTGTTTTAGTTACTTAATAAGCATTATACTTTTAATGAAGTTAATGTCCTATCAGATCCATTCTGCTAACGACCATCCACCAAACAAGGAAGCGGTGAGTGAGAGTGGACACCCATTCAACTACCATTTTATAGACAATTTTCTTATACCCCCCTTATCGTTCGGCTTCGTGAATGAGGCATGCTATAGATCCGACTGACTTAGTCTTATAATATAGTAATTAACTTTTAATATTATATATAAGTGTATTTTAAAACTTTTTTTCAAAAATACTAGGTTTAATTTACAAATTTCAAAATCAATAAAATTAATTCAATTTAAATTAAACTAGTAAGGATTAAACAATTTATTTACTATTAAACAATTAATCAAATAAATTTTAATCATAATCCAATACTCTTTATTTTTGAAATTTGGGGTTTGGGATTTACCAAATTTATAATTATCCAATTTCACGGCATTTAAAACTAATAATTATCAAAAAAAAAAAAAGGAAACCCTACCAAATCCCTAGCTTTTTCAAAAATCAAATAAGGAAGCTAAGGTTTCTAAAACCCTTGCCCAAATCGAAAACCATCAAAAGGGTTTTCGATCTTCTTCAACTTTGTGCAAGATCATAGTGAACATATACTCTGATACCACTAATGAGTTTTATAGATAACAAAAATCATATTTTTTGCGGAAAATATAAAACCCTAAATTCACATACACCTTAAAGGATCTATGTTCTCACTATGATATGCAACACCAATTTGAATTCAAGAACCCTAAAGTAGAATGTTATTTTTGTAATTATAAAAGGGTTATTAGAAAACATAGCTTTTAGTTTATTATTGAAAATAAACTTGAATTCCTTCTTTGTAGAACTTCAGAAAGCCAGTACCAGAAATCTCGTGCCTCTGATGGCTCACACCCAAACACTAGAAGTTGGAGGCTATTGAAGAGAGAGGGGAGAGGAGGGAAATTTTGGAATTCATTTAAGAGGTATAATGGCCGAAAATATGAGACCCAAGAAGGGTTTATATAGGTGATCAAGGGAGCTAAGGATAAGGTATTTTCCTAAGATAAACCTTATCCCTTCTGCTTCCCCCCCCCCCCCTAAGTTTCCTTAGAGCCCAATAAAAGGTCTAGAACTTATACAACCAATCTAGAATTCGTCCAACCCTCCAGGGTGGTTCTAGAATTGGTCAATGCTTAATCTTTTGAACATTGTCACCTTTAGTCCTTCCACTTTTAATTATTCCAATTCATCCCAAAATTAGATTCACTTAATTTCTAATTAATTTATTATTAAACAATATATTTTTGAAAAAATATTAATAAATTATTTATTATGATTTATAATTAATTTATTAACCATATAATAAATTAATAAATCAGTCTCTTTCTCCAAATAGCATTCCAGTCTCTTACTAGACTTGAGGGCAACCCAAAAGGACGTTGCTAATAATTTAAGTTTATAATAATTTAGTCAATGGCTTAGATACCTAATCTAACAACCTTGTCAACCAGAACGGTATTCTAGTCGATCTTGCCAAGGTAGAGGCGGTGATGAGGTGGGAGGTACCGAGGTCTCCATCTGAGATTCGAAGTTTCCTTGGATTGGCGGGTTACTATCGAAGATTCATTCAGGATTTCTCCAAGATAGTGGTTCCTTTGACCCGGTTGACGAAGAAGACCGTCACGTTTCGTTGCGGGCCTGAGCAGCAGACATATTTTGAGACTCTGAGGCAAATTGTGTGAGGCACAGATTCTGACCCTGCCGAAGGGCGTTGAGGATTTTGTGGTGTATTGTGATGCATCAATAATGGGTTTGGGTGCAGTGCTGATGCAGCGGGGTCATGTGATTGCTTACACTTCGAGGCAGCTGAAGCCTCACGAGGAGAATTATCCTACGCATGATTTAGATTTGGGGGTTGTGGTGTTCGCCCTCAAGATTTGGTGACATTACCTCTATGGGGGTCCATTGTACTATTTACATTGATCACAAGAGTATGAGGTATCTGATGGACCATCCGAATTTGAATATGAGGCAGCATAGATGGTTAGATGTGGTGAATCATTATGATTATTAGATCCTTTATCACTTGGGGAAGGCCAACGTGGTGGCCGATGCTCTCATCTGCAAGGCGGTTGCTGCCTCGATCAAGGACGTGTGTTTGAGGATGACCGTGATTACCCCACTCTTAGAGCAGATTTGAGAGGATCAGGTTGAGGCTATGAAGGACGAGCACCGAAAGAGTGAGCGTATAGTGGGTCAGGTAGCTTCCTTCGATTATGATAGCTGAGGATTATTGATCCTTCATCGGAGGGTGTGGGTTCCATATTAGGGTAGTACACGTCAGATTTTGATGGAGGAGGCACACAATTCGAGATTCTCTATTCATCTCGGAGTGACAAAAATATATAGAGATCTCCAACTTGACTATTGGTGGCCATGTATAAAGCGAGACGTGGCTTGGTATGTGGAGAGGTGTAACATCCCGATTTCCATGTATGAAATTTTAAGAATTTTATGCATTTCATAAGACCTACTCGACGATTTGGAGGCCCCAACTCTTCGTGTAGAAGCTAAGTAGGCCGCGTGAATTTTAGAACCTACTCGACGAGTTGGAGGACCCCAACTCGACGAGTTGAAGGCTGAAGATGAAAACCCTAATTTTTAGGGTTTGCACCCTATTTAAAGGACTTAACCCTCATTATTAGCCTCGTTCATCGCCTTCTTGTCCATAGAAACCCTAAAATCGTGCTAACCTTCCATTTTGAGAGTGTGTAAGCCTAAAGAGTGTTTGTTGCTGCATTTCTTGAAGAAGCTTGAAGTGATTAGTGCATAGCTAAAGGAAGAGGTTGTAGATCCGACATTTACACTGTTGTAGCAACCATTTGAAGGTAAAAAGTCATTACCTTGATCACTTGTTTGTTAGATCTCCTCATTGGAGAGTTTATGGTCGTTTTTAGCTTGTCCTTGGGTCATTCTTGGTTTTGAGTATGTTTTGGCATGAGACTTCAGATCTGGACACCTCTAGGCCTTCTTAGGCCTAAAGACTCAAGCTTTATTAAGCTTTGGCAATCCTCCATGCCTTAAACCCCTTAAATGAGTCTTGTTTTAGCAATTTAGCCCTTAATGTCATGCATGGACGTAAAGCTTGCAGCTTTACATGGTATCTTAGCCTTAGAAGACCAAATTTATAGTTTAGAGGCATTAGGCTTGTCTGGAAAGCAACTGAACAAATTAAGAATAGGAAAACTCGACGAGTTGCTTAGCCAACTCAACAAGTTGGATCGGGTTTTCCCGTTTCTGGATGCTGAGTGAAGTCGACGAGTTTGTGAAATAACTCGACGAGTTGGTCAGGGTTTTGTGACATCCCCATTTTCACGGCCTGAAAAGACCGATTTTGTTTATGCTTTATAAAAATCAGAGTACCTCTTTTAATAAAAATTTTGCGGAATTTGTTCCCAGAAAAACATGATAAATACGTTATCAAAGCATTTCCGAAGAAATATATTTTTATTCATTTTAAAACATTGGGATGTCATCGTCAATACAGAAACATAAGCATAAACAGAACTTATATTCATTATCACTAGTGATCTACACCTCTTTAATCTCTCAGTGTAATGTAACTTCGTATCGGCACCTGTGATTCAAATAAGCTTGAGTGGGTCAGGTTGGGAAACCCGATGAGTACATAGGG